ATTCAATCCAAAGCCAAATCCTGCAGAAGTGGAAGCTGTGTTTGATGCTTCCCTTGAAATGTTTCTGAAGGTTCTTCTCGTTTCTATTTTTTATCAAGGATGTTTTATAGTTGCAGTCTTTATTTACGCTGAGGCATTGGTCGTTAAACAATATCTTACACAGGATGAGAACCGAAGTTCCGAGGAGGTTGAGTGGATAATTATGTTATATGGGGTTTAACTGCCAGAATTTTGATAGGAGCTGCAACAGTGGTTTACCAACGACCACCTGCTTTCATTGAAGGGAAATCTAACTTTAAGTACTCCAGAATGGTAAGCGAACATATTTTTGCTCAACTGTGTTATCCTAGGTGTTCATATCTCTATAATTTCAACAGCAAGACAATAAGCTAATAACACTCTATGCAACTGATTTCCTCTACCAGTGAATGCAGAACCAGGCTACTAGTTTATATGGATAGCTGAAGGTGCTAAGTTCTTGCTTCTCCTCGCTGTGACAAATTATTATGAAACTTATGATAATGGAAGGTCGCAGGAGGTGCCTGTATTCTGTCATGTCCCAGGTCAGTCTGTAGAACTGATTATTGTAATGTTGCTTGTTGTCTGCGTTTTGTTGCCAAATCAATCCTGCATTATGCTCAATTGTGAGAGAATTTCCATACTCAAAGGAGGTACTACTTTTGAGGGCTTTCTAAGATTTAAGCTTTGGACCTCTCGTATCCTAAGGGAATAATCGTACCAAATGTCTAGTTGTTGTAATTCATATATAAGAGAATGCTTTTGCTTAGCCATCCTTTCTCTAAATGCCTTGTCCTAGGACCTAGGATCTCTTGCACCTACCACTAAACTTTGTGTGCAAAGCAACTGTTTTAGAAATTCAGTGACCACTTCGCTTTTGTGTTTTTGCTGGATTTTTATTGATTTGACCACTTGTTTTCCGTTCCCTGCAGCATACTGTTTGCGTTATCAAAGCTGGAAAATATCAAGATGGGAGCTATTGTACATTAGTACATATCTAAATCATCTGACTTGAAGCCAAGGTGTGTTGCTATGATGTTTGTAATCCACAGCTGAAAAAAATATAGGGAAAAATGTTTTGTCTATTGCTGTCTTGAACGTGATCTTTTAAAATTTGGCACCAAAAGACAGGTAGGTTACTAATATTAATCAGCTGGCATTCAGAACATACACTGTTAAAAAAGGGAAGACGGGGGCATTCCGAGAATCGAACTCGGGACCTCTCGCACCCAAAGCGAGAATCATACCACTAGACCAAATGCCCTGATGTTCATGTAATTCATTTTAGCTACCTGTTTCTGAAATTTTATGTTAACTCAGACGTTATCCTCTCTATTTTGTGTCCTGCAGCTCATTCTTGGAGAATCTGACAGCACAGCGCTTTGCAGTTCTGAGTTGTGTCCCTGGTTGGATCTTACAATCATAAGACCCGAAAGCAAAGGTATGTAGCCATGATGTTTTATAATCTACTGATGGTGAAATTCTAGGGACTGGTCAATTTTTCAGCTGAACATGATCTTGCAAAATATGTCAACAATGAATAAATGGTAGTAACAAAATTTAGGTGGCATACCAAACATACACTGATAAAAAAAGTCAATGGGGGCATTCCGAGAATCGAACTCGGGACCTCTCGCACCCAAAGCGAGAATCATACCACTAGACCAAATGCCCTGTTGTTGATATGTCAAGGTTCATAGCCTGTTGAAGCTGAAAGAGAATTGAATATACATATAAGCCCCTTTTAAGTTTTAGTGAAACTTTTCCATGCAGACTATCCCTGCTGAGGTGTATCTCGTTCTTGGTGAAACTTGGCAACATGCGGTCATCATTCTTGATGAATCTGGCTTCACGCGATTATTGTAAGTATTCACTATCAAACATGGGGAATTTGTAGTGAAATGCATGGTATTCAATTATTGATTACTAGGTTTGAAGCCCTTGTTTGCAATAGTTTTGTTTATACTTTATCTCACATCGTGCGTCCTTTTATTTTATTTTATTAGGATGTTAACACCCCACTTTATCTCGAATTTTCTATTTCTAACATTTTAGCATATTATAAATATTATGTTTGTTTACTTTTGTTAGACTATAAACATGCATATGTATAATTTGACTCAACGTTAAAATTTGTAAGTATATTGTAAAATCGCATTTGCACCGAAATAGATGAAAAAAAATATATATACTTTTATACATATCTACTTTGTTGTGGTAGCATATGAGCCTCATTGATTGTTTTCTATTATGTTAGTTTTGTAATTGAATATATTTGGAAACAAACATATCACAATCCTTAAAATTTTCATGTTTTTCACTGCAATTAAATTTACATATAAAAACTTGACTTCTATTTGTTTAAAAAAGCAAACTCTAACTCTAATTTCTCATTGGTTTTTTATTATCTTAATTAATTTATATTCAACTTTTTAACTTGTGAACACATTATAACATTTTGAAGTAGGATAAATCCTTTTAA